TATTTAGAGCAATTAATTCATCCTGGAATTTCTGACAAAGACTTACAAGAATAAATATCATTTGAGCTGAGCCTTACTTCTAATATATTGGGATGCACTATGTAGAAAAGAATGGGAAAGGCAATTGTAAGCAGAAGGAACAACATTTAAAAAGGCAAGCAAGTTTTTGAGGACATGATATATTCAGGACATGACTTGAAGATTCACTTGAAGAAAGAACAATGTACACACATTAGTGTGGCTGAAATTATTTATTCACAAATATACTTATTCAGTTCATATGTGTTTTTGAGCACCTTATCTGTACAAGGCTCTGTATAGGTTCTGGAGGACCAGAGATGAAAAATATTTAGTCCCTGCCCTCAAGAAGAGCTCAGTATAATAGTGAAGAAAGGCATATATTCAAATTGATACAATGAAATAGAGGCTATAATAAAGAGGTATATAGAGTATGTTTGTCAATGTGTTGAGTATATATATACATGCATGTGTGTGTGTGTCTATGCTTCCTCACCCACCTCTGCATGCATGACTGAATCTGAGGATGTGAGTTACAGACCTCCCTCCCTCACGTGGATATCCTCAGGACAGTAGACTCAGAAAATGCCTTGTCATTAGTCTCTGAGTCCTGAGAGCCTACACTCCCAGGCTTGGAATATTCCTGGGTCTCTGGCAGGATCAGGTATTGGATCACTTCCTTTCTGGAGTCTTCTAGGGAGTCATAAACAACCTGCTTCTCTTAAGAAGAAGGGTTCTTAACATTACCTTCATTTTCATGATGTCATTGGGATAATAGGAATAACTTCGGAGCAAGAATTAAAGGAGTTAATACATTACAAAGCACTTAGAATGGTCTGGCACATGGTCAATGCTACAGACGTATTAGTAAATAGTACTATAATAACTATTGTCATTATTGTTATATTGTTTCCATGTATAATATATCTCATACTGTCTGTGTTAAGTGGAATCAGAAGGTGGCTGCCTTGTCTAACCTAACATCAAGTAGAGGAATTTTGTCCCCGAAGGATTCTCATGCTTGTACTTCTCTGTAAGGCTGGCCTCTCTACTTTTTCTTCAGCTGAATGTTAGAGTCCCTGCTTTATACTGAACTAGAATCTGCCTTCCTGTGATACCTACCAATAGTATTCTGGGATGAGTCTTCTTTTCCTTTTGTCAATGCTTTTTAAATAAGCAAATATTATTTGAGACCTCTCAGTGCCATCACTAGTGGGAAAGAGAGGAAAGAGGTGACACAGTTCAAGTCTTTAAGAATCCTGCATTCTCTTGAAGAAATATCCAAATATCCATTTACTTTTATCGATTATTGTTAAGAAACAAAACAAACCAGGTGATAAAACTCTTTTTTGCATCATTTGTCAAAATAGAGAAAAATTAATGAAGACTGAAATCCAGGAAGGACTTTATAGAGGAGATGTGTTAAAGGATAAGCACTTATTTATGCATCCTTTTCTTCATTGATTATTTCATTTTTGAAATATCTAAATCTTTTTTGACAATTGACAATATGCCACATCTGTAAGTAGGAGTTCACCAAGTAGGCAAGATTGCAGGGGAGGAAGTGTTAGGAAGTTGTGAGTAGTTCAATATGAATAAAGCATAGGGTTCAAGGAGAGAGAAATGGATGATGATGGCAGAATCTCAAGGATATCATGGGGAACCTTGTGGACCAAACTGAACTGTGAGGATAGGGAGTTGCTTGAAGAGTTTTTAGCAAGAGAGTATCGTGAGATCAAATTTTTCTGGAAGTAGAAGGTAAGGCTAGGAGTTGGGTAACGAGGGGAAAAGGAGGGTGGTAAGATACTGTAGGGATTATGAGCACAGGCTTTGGAGCTACACTGGCCCAGGTTTGATACAGGCTCTTACTAACTTTATGACCTCAGGGAATTTTTTTACCTTTCTGGGCTTCAATTTTCTTATCTGTGTAAGGGGGATGTTAACAGCCCCTAGCTCATAAGTTTATTGAGAGAATTAAATGATAATACATATAAAACACTTAACAAAATGCCTGAGACATATTGAGAATTTAATAAGCAAAATAAGAGAAAAACCTGAAGTATGTTACAAATGAAAGAGATATTTTTCCTCCCTAGTTCCACCCCCTTTTGCCTTTATTCTTTGCATTAGTTAAAAACCTGATGAATTTGGCCTGCTGAGCCCTTCTCAAATAGATTTCTGTTTGCATCGTTGTCAGAGTCTGGAAAATCTAACTTCTGAGCAGCATCTCAGCTTCCCTGAATGATTACCCCAGGGCCCATTGCCTCCACTCTGTCTGCTAATCAGGTTAGGCATCCTGACCCACCCGGGAGAGGAGCTGGAACAGCTGCAGGCAGTAGATGAATTCTCCTGATAGCACATAATCAAATTCAGTGGAGACTACGGCAGCCTCTCAAAGTCAAGTTGCTGAACTTGACTAGAAGAGGAGAAAACGAGGGTGACTGAATCGAAAGCATGGATCCTGATTGGATATACTGGTAAATGAAGAGTTGAAAACATTGGTCATAAACTGAGGGACCTTATGACTGTAGGAAACACCTGCATATGAAGACATGCTCACCAGGGCTATAAGAGACTCAGACTCAGACCTTTGAGTCAGAGCCTGAAGTGACTGTCACAGACCATTGGCTGGAGACCTCAAGACCACTTTCACTGGCATTCTCTGCAAATACAAACCTGGAACCCTGAGACTTGCTAATTCTACCAGCCTCACATTGCTGCATCTTCAATCATGTCACAAATGTAGAACATCATACATTCTGGCCATACTCTTATGCCCACACTGGTCTGTTCTCTCTCTAATGTTGACTTTCCTCTGCTCCTTTCCCTCTCCAAACCTTTCCACTTTCTATTTTTTCCTTTGGAATTCAGCTCCATGATTAATAAATTCACTTGGATCCTCAGTTGTTTAGTCCACCGCTTCCTTTACCCCTTGTCTTGACCAATCTATGCTTGGTATATGATTCTTAGATATTTGCTGAATAAAACAACAGGCTAAGTCTTGACTCTCTTGGAGGACATTACTTCCCCCATTACCCTCTCAGGATGTACTCGTTCACCTACATTCCACATATAGGAACAGGAGGAGGCAAGTTTCCTCCTCACTCCTCATGTACCTTCTAAGCCATATTTCTCTACCTTATCACTGGTTTGTCCATAATTTCACTTTTATTGAAATTTGTAATTTCAATATAAGAAGGTTTAGGGTAGCAATCTTGTTATAAGGAGGAGTGCCTATGGAATTTGTCTTAAAGCTATATTTGCATTATAAGAAGACTGTTGTTACTTATATTTTTATTCACAGTGGCTTTGGGAGTGGGAGGTAAGTGGACTCTATTGGTGGGCCTAAGTACACCCCTAAACAGCCTTTGATACTACACTGACTTTTGTGTGGAAAGCCCTGGTCCTTTGTTACTTATGCTTGGTATCTACTATCCTGTCCTCCTCCTCAGCGCTTTAAGATTCTTACCCATATTATACCTCATGGCCCAACACTTTGGCCACTTTGTCCTGCTGTAATAAAATGTTAGAATATGTCATTAAATCTAATGTAATCAAATATATGTACAAGCATCAGTGCCATGAAACCTCTGCTTTTCCACAGGAATCCCATAGCCTCACCTACCACCCTGGACACTTAGCCTCAGAAAGACACCAAGGTAGAAACAAGATTCTGCAATGAACACTAGCATGTTATAATTCTCTTGGATCTATTTCTTAAAAAACTGTCTCTAGACTATTCTACCTGAAGCAAACACTATTCTTGTTTTTCTCAGACTCAATCTCCTATACCTACCTCCTCACATTTTCCTCCATAAGCCCCTGTGCTTCTTTTCTTCTCGATTGAATGCCAAGCCACTGCAGGTGAGACTTGCATCCTCCACCCACAGTTCCTGCACTCCCTATAAGCATCCTTGCTTTTAAGGATCTTCCAAACCTATTTCGGTGGACAAGACTTGTGAAGCAGTTGATTAAAAGGCAAGAATTACTACAAAATGTGTGAGCTGAATTAATCTGGAATTTTCAATGTAGGATCATAGAAAAGGCACTGTTTGAGATGGGTGTTGTAGGGTTAACAGGATTTGAAGAGATAGAAATGAGAGGCATTCTCTGCAGGGAAACAGTGTGAAGAGTTTGATATCATAAAGCATGAGAGGGTGCAGTAACTCTGTAAAATGTAAAGAAGTTATGGGAGCTGTGACTGGAACATTTTTCCTTTCCTCATGTTTGCATCTCAGTCTTACTTACTGAAGAACGAGCATGATTGCTTAGCAAAATTGCTCACACAGCCTATTTTAAAGCAGTATTTCCCAAATTGCTTTTGTGGAAAATTAGGTGTTATGGGATGCTATGTCAAAAAATAATAATAATAATTTAGAGAAATTTTGAATATTTTCCCTCCCTTGAATATTCACAAAACATATGAGTTTATTTTAAAAGCTCTGAATTAGTCTTATAATAAAAATACTTAACTTCCCCAGGAAAATAGGCATCCCTCATTTATATCTCTATGGCATCACACTCTTTATTTCCCCTCAAGGCATTTTTAGAGTCTGTAACTATATTTTTTATTTATTTTAAGTATTTTATTCACTGCTTCCATACTAGAATATATACTCCATGAGGACAGAGATCTTGCCTGTCTCATTTATTATTTTATATCAAGACCTAGGCATATGATGTCTGGGCATATGACAGGTGCTTAAAATAAGGATAAATAAATGAATAAAATCTGTTAATTTTTGCTTAACTTTGCACTTTCTAAACAGTTGGCAAAGAATAGCACTGGATTTTGAACAAAGTACTGCCAGATTCAAGCTTGTTTTTGAGTCTATGTGATTTGTGTCATTGTTGTCCCACCCCTACTACCCAGGATTCTTGATGCTAACAGTTTTTCTCTTAGGCGTTCATTCCTATTTATTACATTTTGAAGTTTGAACAACTATCTAATATGCTTAAATTTCTTTGTTTGTATCTTCCAGGCAAAGGCTGCCACCTAAAAATGTTTACTACTACCGTTGCCCAGACCATAGGAAGAATTACGTGATGTCCTTTGCCTTTTGTTTTGATCGAGAAGAAGATATTTACCAGTTTGCTTACTGCTACCCGTATACATACACGCGCTTCCAGCATTACCTTGACAGCCTGCAAAAGAGAAACCTGGATTACTTCTTTCGGGAGCAGCTGGGCCAGAGCGTGGTAAGACCTGTGCCAAATTTGGAATGCCCATTGAGAAACAGGCAACCGTAGGGTAGGGACTTAGCAATGGGTTTTTGTAGACTACAAATAATGAATATTGGTGCTTTGCAGATTATATGATCTGGAACTTGTAATAGTTTAATAAATTTTTATCAAATAATATAGTATAAATAATTATTATATAATTAATAGTTATTTAATAATTCTTTAAAATATTGTTTTTATTGTGTGATTCATTGCTACAGTGGGTGGTAGGAAGTCACAGAATAAGATATGAGACAGCTGGTTGTCTTTCTGAATGAAGTTGATAAAGCTCTGTAAAATATACAAAAGTTCTGGTGAGTCCCCAAAACTCTGAGAGAAAAGAAGACTTCTACTGGGTGTTACAAAAGGTGTGAAAGCATTTTATGACTGTGAGTCTCTGAAATGAAGAATAAATTTGTTTCCGAGTGAATCCAACTTGCCTGCAGTACAGGTTAGCAAGTAGTGTGCAGTTTGGCTGTACTGACCAGTGAGTTCCGTCTTTGCCATCCATCAGTTCCCAACCCTTCTTCCCTGCTCCAGGTTTAGTTCTGTCAGCATGAAGATTCAATCTTCCATTCCATATTATTTTCCTATTGCTGATGTGACAAATGACCACAAACTTGGTAGCTTAAAACAACACAAATTTATTATTTTATAATTCTGGAGGTTAGAAGTCCAAAATGAATCTCACTGGACTAAAGTCATCAGCAGAACTGTGTTCCTTCTGGAGACTCTAAGGGAGAATTCATTACTCTGCCTTTTCTACCTTCTGAGGTCTGCTTGCATGCTCTGATTTGTGGTTCCCTTCCATCATGAAAGCCATCAACAGATGGTTGAGTCTCATGCTGTATCCCTCTACACTCTCTTGCCTCCCTCCTTATAAGGATCTTTGTGATTATGTTGGGTCCCAGATTAATCTCCCCCAAATCACATCTGTAAAAGCCCTTTTGTAATGTCTGGTAACATATTCACAGGTTCTGGACATTAGGACTTGAACATCTTGCCTCCCATCTCTGTCCAAACCAGAATCTGTAGTTGTTCTCCATACTGGATTCATAGGTGTTGCTCTTAGTTGTCAGCAATACTTTGGTTGCTAATACAGAATAAGCAGGTGATAATTTGGTTTATGTTTCACCCTTTAATAAGTATAGATTGTGCCCCTAAAATAGGCTATTGAACAGGCTCTGGTTCCAAGTGAAGATACTGGTGGAATTGGCAGAAGATACTATACTTGGGGTTCTGATATGTGTTGATAGATAAATGGACTCTGCCTAATGAATGTGAGTTCCACATAAAAGTGAATCCCTAAGCTCTAAATAATTCTGGGATACCCCAAAAAAGAAAGAAATAAAGAAGGCCTGTGTACAGCTTAGGTACGTGAGAGCCAAACCTGGTCATGATGTTATTCTTATAGTCTGAGATTCTCTATGCACTAAGATTTCACTAAATATCTTTCCTCTACTCCAACCTCCTTCCCAACAGTGCTTCTGGTAGGTGCCATTTGTATGCAGTGCCTATATATTTTGAACTAAAAATTGTGACACATGGTGTATCAGTCAGCATGCTAGTACGAAACAGATGGCAGCCTCAAATTAGGAAGGTTTAATAAATGGGCTATTTACAAGGTGTGGGCAGTGCGTAGGGAAACCACAAGATATAGTGAAGTTCCCATGGGATAATAACAGCCCCCTGGGAAGGGTGTGAAGGGAGGGATTGGTTACCAGAACCTAATAGTAGAGAGTTGGATAGTGGGCCATCTTGAAGGGAATGGTGACCTTCAGTTAAGGTATACAGTTAGCCTGAGATAACCCCTCAGAGACGGAGCTGAGAAATAAGAATACATAGACCTCATTCTCCTACTTTCTTCTAATCTCCTGATGGGGTTTCTAGTGGCCAACCCAATGAGAAGCCAAAGGGCAAGGCAGCACATTGATGTAATCTGTACAAATCAGCCTCTCAAAGCAAAAAAAAAAAAAAAAAAAAAGTGGAGAGAGAGGATGTAAAGGAAAATAGAAAATATTATGTACAAATGGTCTAACCACGATATATTACCAGAGTCAATGAGATTATTTGAAGATGGGGCCATCAGAGAAATTATGAGATAAATGTTTGCTACACATATGAATTGTGATATGACTTAAGAGAATAGGAAATTCATTCAATACTTGTGACTTTTAAGGCAATATCTGTATATTTCATTTCTGTGTCAACCTCAGACCCCTTCTAGATTTATGCCAGATAGAATGTAGGTGCACATTGTATGAATGACTGAATGAATGAAAGAATGAATTAAGATATATCTGGAAGCAGTATGAAAAGCTGAGAACAACAGAAAGCTGATAAGAGAACTATTTAATAATAGGATCAGTTAAATTTCCAATAATAGATATTCAAAATAATAGATATCTAAAGTAACAGCTACTTACATGTCTTAGGTTTAAGTCTGTTATCCATCTTGAATTAATTTTGTGAGTTGTGAGAGATAAGGTTCCGATTTCAATCTTCTACATGTGGCTATCCAATTTTCCCAGCACCACTTATTGAATAGGGATTTTTTTCCCCAGTGTATATTGTTATTTGCTTTGTCAAAGATCAGATGACAAGTGCCCATCAATTCATGAGTGGATTAATAAAATGTGTTATAAGTATACCACGGAATACTACTCAGCCATAAAAAATGAATTAATACCTTTTCTAACAACCTAAATGGAACTGGAGACCATTCTCCTAAGTGAAGTATCACAGGAATGGAAAAACACACACTACATGTACTTGCTATTAAATTGGAAGTAATCGATTAGCACTCATGTGAACATATGGAAGTAAAACTCAACGGAAATCAAGCAGATAGGAGGGAGCTGGAGGGGATGGGTAAAATTATACCTACCAGGTACAATGCACACTATCTGGGTGATTAGCACCCTTATAACTTTGACTCAAACTGTAGACAAACAATTCATGTACGAAAAAATTTGTAGCCCTATAATATTCTGAAATAAAAATAAAATAACATAATAAATAAAATCACAGCAACTTAAACAAGATAGAGGTTTATTTATTTTATATGTAAAAGTCTAGATGTAGGCAATCTATAAGTAATATTATAGCTCTACTCCTTGAAAGCCTCAGGGAGTCAGTTCTGTCAGCTATCTGCTCTGTCATTCTTGCAGTGTGGCCCTCAACCTCATGATTCAATATGGAATTACATCCACACTCCAGGCAGCAGGATAAAGAAATGGTAGGGAAAGGATAAGAAGCATTTTTGTGGCACTGTAATTTGATAGAACTCATATCCACATTTAACTGAGGAAGGATAAGCAATGAATTTTTTTTCTAAGTGACCATGTTCAAGCTAAAAATTGGTAGTCCTATAGCTATGGAGGAGAACTGATGTTGGAGGACAGCCTGAAGTCTCTGCCACAGGAAGCCTAAATTCTGCTTCTAGCTCTAACATGAAACCACTTGTAAAACTTTGAATGCTACATTCTGTTTTGGGAGACAATTTTTTCACCTATAAAGTGAGAAAATTGGACTTGAATAGAAGTTTTCAAATTATTCTTTAAGGAATTCCTCAGAAAAATAATAATTTGAGACTTCTATCCTACTTGAGACCCATGAGAGTTACTGTGGGGATATATAACAAGGTTATATAAGTCTTGGTATACTTCCAGAAATGTATTCCATACCAGAGGAAAAAGACATGTCCAAATAGCTATTTTTTAAAGTTTGTAACTAAGTATATTTTGAGTTGTTTAAAGAGTTAATGATCAGAAAAACACAATAGAGAAGCTGGCCTTTAAGCTAAGTCTTGAAAGATGGGTGGAATTACTGAATATAGAGTTGGGAATAAGGTAGCCCAAAAAGCAGGAAAGGCTAGAGTCATTGCCTGGTGGTAGTTGGTTGGAAGTCTGGTTTCACTGGAACAGGGAATTCATATCGGGGCTACTGGAAGATTAGGACAGACAGGAAGATCTAGGAAAAACTCTGGAAAGCCTTGATTGTCATATTGGCTATATCTTTTATTCATATTCAATGCACAGACACTGGATCCATTACTTTATATAGACTATCCTATCTTTTTTCTTATAATAGCTTTGTGGAATAGGCAGAGCTGTTGTACCAGTTTAGGGGATAAATAATCTAAGGCTAAAAAGATAAATTATTTCACTAAGTCCACATGACTAGTTCATATCAGAGCCAAGACTTAAACATGACTTTGACTTCTACCACCATGTCCTGGCCCCGTGATGGACACAGTAATGCCCAAATAGATTTTTGAGAAAGGGCTTCACCCTATCCAAAGCAGCATCTTTAGAAAGTAAATTTAATGAAAGTTCAAGGTATACCTATGTCAGCTGAACTAGATTAGGGAAGCTCTGTGAGTTGGCTGAATCCTCTGTTCTGGGCTTTGTAGCAGATACTGGAGATTTTAAGGCTTTCTGGCATACTTTTGCAGACAGGACAATTCTCAGTTACCAGGCTGTTTAATATGGCTTGTGTCTGAAGGGACCACTATAACTAGTTAATCCTTATTTCAATTTGGAGTGTGGATAATTACCAGTGGGAAGGCTAAACACGCCAACATCCAGATCTTAGGGAGAGCAGGAAGGAGGTAAATGTTGAATTTTTAGTGCTGGAACTATTAATCACCATGATCATAGGTGCTACTGGTACTAGTTATGTCATCCAAGATGACATTTTATTTTGTTACTCAAACTTTGAGGAGTTTTCAAGTCTTCCCTGGCTTTTACTTTCCCTTTCATGTTGTGTTTCCTATGTGCATTTGTGTAATCTCAAGGTTGGTCAGAAGAATGTGGCTGACTTGGGCCTTTTCTGGTCTCCACTGAGCCTGCACCCAGTCTTGTCCAGGAATATGCTTGTCCCAACTATGCAACTGTCAGCCCTCCTCATTATTGCACTTCTGCGATGAGCATTTCCACAGATAATGCTGCTGGGTGTGGGCGCTGCCCAGCTCT